CTCTGTTGACCACAGAGACCTCTTTCATGAGCCTTCACAGAATAGTGTCAAGACTGAAGCCAAACTATTAGGCACAAAAAATGTTATCTGCAGGGACCCATTGTTCCTTTTCCCTGGAGCCCATGTTTGCCACAATGATGGTATTATGTTTCTGCAGATACAAGCTGTCTCTTGCCATCTAAATTTCTCTTGCTTTTGACAGATGACTGACTTGCAGGTTTCAAGATAAAAGCAATCCAGACATTGTCGTCATGCCTTTCCCAGGATTGGTAAGTGCCTTTTAGCTGCAATTTAAAGTGAACTTTGGAAACTTAAAGCTGTTTTCTTTAGCTGATCTATTGGGCTGTTGGAAAAGTCATGACGCCTTTATGCAAAGATAAACGTAGAAAAAATACGTCATGACTTTTCTGACAACCCAATAGATCCTTTCTGATGGGATTAGTTCTAGAAGGAGAGGCTCAGGAAACACCGACTGGCAGTATCAGTGTCCCGTTCTTTTTCCCTTACTCAGTTTTAAAAGCCTCACATGGCAGGAATCAGCAAACCATCCATTTACAGAAAACAAGGATTGTCATAAAGGAGGTGTCGTGAGTGAAAACCACACTACTACAAAGTCTGTTCAGGCAATCACTTTGTGTCTGGGTCTGGTGTGCTGAAGCCCCTGTCTTCCCTCTGTTGTCCATAGATCCTGGCATAAAGACCTAAAGACAGGGAGTAAAAGGTACTTGAGCAATTTGCAAGAGTGCAGTGAGAGAGTGAGAATTCATTCAGCCTCAGCAGTGTCATCTGTAAAAAGACAAAATGTTGGTATGTGCCTCCTAAGGTTGCTGGGAAGCCTGACAATGTAAGTCAGCCTAGAAATGTAGGTAAGCCCCTGAGTACTGTGTTCGGCTCCTTGCAAAGTGCTCAGTCCATGTAACCTTTGATCTTTGTCATGACCAGGGCAAGACTGGGAGCGATGCATTCTCTTTGGGGCACTATACTTGAAGAGAGATGCTGCAAAATGCAGAATTACAAAAGGAGAAGGAGGAAAAGAAAAAAGGAGGGGGGAAAAGAAAAAGATAGAGAAGGGAGAGGAAGATGACCAGGAAGGTGAAGGACCTTGACATAACGTCAAATGAGAATTCTGCAGGAAACGAGCTATCATGCCTAGAGAATCGAAAGCACAAAAGTCTTGAGAACCAAAATGCATCATGGTTAAGGAAACAGACCCTGCTCATTAAACAATTACAGAGTTAATGCTTACCTTGTCCCTAGCAAACTGCTCAGCACTGGGGATACAAGTGTGGCCCCTGCCCTCATAGAACTTACAGTGTAGCTGAAGTGACGCTGTAAAGGTCACTTAAAAGGTCCCTGCTGTCCAGTGTGTCCAGGTACTGTGACAGTAGATGTATGGATGGTGGTGGTAGAACAGAGCACAGGCAGGTAAGTCGCTTTAGGTGGGTAAGGTGGGGGAGGGTGTCGCCTGGAAAGGCTTCTACCTACATTTAGGAGGATGAGGATACTGGAGAAATTACCGAACCATTGTTAAGTCTCAGATGCTCGTCTGTCAAATAGGAATAATAACAGAACCTATCTCACCGGGGCGCAGTGAAGAACAAAGACAACAATCCTTTGCAAGGACTTCCCTTGCGCTAGCAAGGAATTCAACCTGGTGGCCTATGGGGCAAATTAACCCCAACACATGTTTAGTCAGTGATTCAAAAGGAAATGAGGTGGCCATACTTAAAAACTGGGAAATGTGTCTTTCCAGATTCTTATGAAAAAATAAGACAATCTGGCAACTCTGCTCTCACGGTTCCATATGGCAACAGTTGGCTGGAGCTGAGTGACAGCTGCCTTCCTGGGCACAGTGTCTGCCCGTCTGTTGGCCAGGGCCCCCTTCTCTCACATGTTTTACCTGCCTGGCCCTGCAGGCTTCTCAGCTGATTGCTTTTGAGCTGCCAGATACAGCTTATACGCCTTCCCTCAGCTGTGCCGCTCACCCCGCTTTCCCCTTCTCACTGCAGCAATCCTAAATAACTTACAACCCCTCTAGGCTCTCTGTGCGTCTGTGTTTTTTGTTTTTTGTTTTCCTCCTGTTCTTTCTGCCTGGTAGAGGAAGAATAAATTAACTCTTGCTGAGGTGGATTTGAATTATGTTTTCAAGTGTGGAAGGATTTGCCTGAACAAAGCCGTAGGATAAATGGCCCATCATCCTTTGGGTAATTCTAAACTATTTATTCAAAAGAAAAAAAAAGCGGGGGGGGGACTTACTGTTACTGTTCAAGGAGGAACATTTCTGCTGTACACCTGTTGTTTCCTCAGTGAAGGGAAATCCATCATAGTAACACACCTGGCTTCTCCCAGCTTCCCTCACTCTCCCCGAGGCAAAAGTGCATTTCAGTGAGTTTGGAAGAAAGAACTAGAAATGCACAGCCTAGTCCTTTTTGCCATCCATTTGCTAGTTTGCCTCCATAAAACGTATGTATGCTTGGCCTCTGTCAAGTGATGAAAGAAACCTGCCCCAGTAATGGATAGTTGCAGGTTTCCAACTCCAACTGTGTCTAGATGGGTAAGCTTGGTTGGTAATTTATTTGCAAAAAAAATGGCCACAATTATTCCTTGCCCTGTATCCAGCCCTGTTAAGTCCAGAGCTGCTTCTGGGGTCAGAGAGCTGGGGGTTGGGGGAGGGAAAGTAGACTTGGAGGGGAGGAGAGGCAGGAAGGGGATCATAAGGTAACTGGACATACATACCTTTCAGTTCTAATCACCTTTATTTTTCTGCCACTTTACATTTTTAAATTCCTCATTCTGGACAGGACAGTCTTTAGTCTTCGCCAATCTGGCACTTGGCCTCCCCACACAAGAGACAGAATCCATCTCCCAGTCTGGAATCCGAAAGAAAGACCAGGAATTTTTTTTTTTCCTTCCCTCCCCTGCAGCAAGAGGGCCCCTCCCACTCCAGAAACGCTCTTGCTGGAGATTCACTCCCGAGTCTGCAAAGAAAGGTTTTCCCTGAACCCAGGTTCTGCCAGGAGACCCATCAAATTTCTCAATGCCTTCTCCATCCTCAGATTATTACTGCAACATTGCTCTGAACAAGAGCCTCATGTTACAGTGAGAAGGAAAGCAAGAAGCCCACGGAACTCACTCATCTTGTCATGCACCCCATCACCCCGACTCCCGGCCTTCGAGGACGGAGGGAAGCCTTCTTGGAAACTCACTTGTGATGCCAGTTGGGCTGCTTTGCGAGGCTGGATTACAATCATGCATATAAAATGCAATATAAGCTCTGAGCCAGGTAGTAATATGTTGGCTATTTCTTGTATAGCTGGAATACACTGCAGTCCATTCCCATAGCTCTGGGCTTTAATGATTTAGGAAATTTTGTGTACAAGGGAAGAGTGTTTCCTTTGGGATGCAGATCACTGTTCTCTTTCTGGGGATCTGCCTCGTGGGGCTCCTCCATTAGAGGAACGGGAAATGTGCGCGAAGGTGTTGGTTGGGATGATGAATTGTAGGCAGCTAGGAGAGGCTGGGTTGCTAACTCCACAATGGCAGCGTGGAAGGTTATGTCTGAATCCCAGGAGAGCTCCTGTGATGACCTTCCAGTATGATTGCCTCATCTAGTGGCACAAGTTTGTAGAAGGTAACAGCAACCCCAGGCAAGCAGAACACAAAGTATTTCTTCTCTACAGGAATGGAAAGGCAGGTCACTCCATCAGGAAGAGAATGTCAAACAGGCGAGGAGCTGGTGGGAGTCAAGGGCAATAGGAAACACATAGTAGAGAAGTCATAATTTCATAAATACCAACTGTAGTCTTAGGAACAATGACAGTAATTAGCACTCAGCATGTCTGAGCACTTTCTTCCTGTTTTCTTCATGTACAACAATGGATTGACTAATTTTCCTTCTATTTTTTTTCTGCCTTGCTATGTTTGACAAGGTGTTTTGGTGGTAGTTAATGTCATAATTTATTTCCATGGAGCACAGAATATTGAGATGGGATTGTGACTGGACTAGAATAAGAATGGAAAACGCTCAGATCCCTGGGACCTGGAGCTGGATTTGGGGACTCCAATGACGTTTTGTTGGATTCTTTAAGAGGTGAGATGAAAATATTTATTTTATGAGGGATATTTGCATTATATTAGGTGAGGGTTTTGATGTGTGTGTGTGTGTGTGTGTGTGTGTGTGTGTTGATAGTGTAAATGTGGCGGAAACACAGTGGACACATGGATGTTGAGTAGCCAGATGGTGGTCATCTGCCATGATTTTTGGCTGCCCAGCATGTAAAACCCCTTCCTTTGTGTGGAATGGCCCCCGGACAAAACCCTTCTCCCACCACAATCTGAAAATTCCATCGATTTGTTTTCCCACCCCTTCTTGCAACTGGGTGCTTGACTCAACCTCACCTACCAGGCTCCAAACTTTGAATTTGGTGATGAAAAAAAGAAAAAGGGCCAGGACCTCCCTGAGTCTATGCTTGGGGAGGGTGGCAGCCGCCATAGTGGCAGCCGCCCTGAGTTGCCAGAGGCAAAAGTAGCAATGTCCCAAGTCACTGAGTAGCACCAGCGACAAGAGTGTGTAAGAGTGTCGAGCAGCAGCCTGGTGGTGCTCCATCAGGTGGGGTGTGTGGGACTTGGGGTGGCGTTGTGGGCTGTCGCCTCTGAGCTGAAACCTTACCTGACCATCCTGGGGGTTACCCAGTCCTCTTTTAATGGATTCATTTTCTGCTTAGATCATTCAGAGCTGGTTTCTGTTGATTGAAACTTTGAACCCTGGCTGATTAATATCATTCATTCCATGAAAATTAATTTAACTCTTACCATGTAAAAAACATTGAACTAAGCGCTATGAAACGCTATCCATGCTATGAAGTACCATGGGTACAGCAGTGACCAAAGGCACATACGGTTTCTGCTGACACGGAGCTTACAGTCTAGAGAGGGGGATATTATTCAAATAATAAATACATTTGATCTTATTGTGTTGTCTTTTTATATTTATAGTTCCTGAAGTCCATGGCACAACTTTCTTCAGATCCTAAAGCAAGATGTTATTTCTGAGTAAGGGTGAGGTGAATTAGCCATAACTGGGACTTTTTTTTTCAGGATTTTCCAGATTCTCTCTAATTGGCATATATGTCTTTTAAAAACATATCTTTTCCATTAGACAGATTGGACTTTATTCCCCAGCTGGAATCATTGGAATCTGCAAAGAGTTTTGGTTAATGCAGTCAAAAATATTTTCCATTATTCTGCACTGTTACAACAGTATTTGGAAACTGTATTTGGTGAGATTATACCAAATTTGTTAACATAATATGTCTTGATATGATTGGGAAGATGTGCTTTATTTTATTGTTAGCACAATCATAAAACAAGTAAAGCAGGTCAGATTATCTTAAGAACAATATTATTGAATATTAGAATAAATACCCATGGGCAGAAACTATTCTTAAGAGATTTTCAATGCAATTAAGCAATTTTAAAATTGATTTATTAAATACTTAAAGTCCGGCGGCTGGCTAGTTATGTAAAATAGTATCACTTTACCTTTTTGGTGAATAAGCTGTCATGTCAGCAGAAAAGGATGACGTTTTTTCTCTCTCCTTTTCCCCCACAGCTCATTTTCAAGCTGTGTTTGTTTATCTGAGTCATCTGATGGTCCCTTATGTTCAGAACGCTACATCTCACCAAGCTTGCCCTTCCTGGTGCCATTTAAAAGTGTACAAACGTCACTGTGGTTTTGGACCATTAGTTTGAAATTAAATTTAATAGCAAATGGGGAATTCTATTTGCCATATTCCATGAACCACTGGGTTTCCCTTTGGCCAACTAAGCCTTTCTTTGGGAAAGTAGGTTCCTCTTCATTTCGCTGCTCAATGTGTATTCCTATAACTTTCCTTCCTCCCAAGTTTGTTTCTTCTTCATTTATCTGTAAACTATGCACTCTGTTAAAAATGTTCTCTCTACTGTTCTTAATTACCATGTATCACCAAACTCAAGAACCTACCCCTTTCTCGGCTGAAGACTTCTGTAAATTTGTAACATTGCCTCTTCCTTAAAAAAGCAAATCCCGGATCTTCTGAGGTTGACAATTGGAGGTGAAAACGTTACAGGGAAAGGGAGGCAGGACCCAGAAGCTCCCGCCCTTGTCCCCCTGAATTTGACCTTTCTCTTTGAGAGATTAATGTTCATGACTCCTTGTCACAACCACCACAAAAGCTGGCAAGATTGCGGGTACAGTAACAGGAGGCGGATGTAACTCAGTACTAAGCTATAATACCCGATCCTGTCCTTACCTTCCCCTAGTACCTCACGTAGGCTGTTAATTTCTGCCCCAACTCTTGGCTTTCTCTGTATCTCCAGCTCGAATTCTGGATGAAGAGGTGCACTGAACTGGGATATGGTGTCCCCAGTATCCTTCTCTAGAGGTGCTTGGCTGCCCACACTGAGACTCCTGTGTGTTGACAATCTGGGCTGATGTCAGCTGGGTTCTTATGCTGGTCCTGGCTAGACTCACTCTTGAATACTCGAGGAGCTGACGGGCCAGCTGGGGCTGGCTGGTTTATGGTGGCCTTTTGTGGGACGATTGGGATGACCAGGGCCTCTCTCCAGGTTTCTTCACATTTCCTGGGTCTCTGCTCGCATCATGTTTGTCCCTGTTCCATTGGCCAAAGCAAGGGGCAAGGCCAGCCCAGATTCAAGAGTAGAGAAAGCTTGCAGCTCTTTGGGGAGGAGTTACAGGGTCAACCGCAAGAGTTTACATACAGCCAGAGAAAGAAAATGAGGCCGTTTTTCCAATCTGTCATGAACAGCCTCTTCCAATACTTCGATTTACCTATGTTTGCTTCTTGTCGCTGTTTTCTTTATGTTTATCTCTCTCCTCCCTCTCTTCCTCCTTCCTTCCCTATCTTCCTCTCTCCCTCTCTTCCTCAAATCTTTACTAAGCACCTAATATGTCCCGTGTATAGAATATACAGCAATAAAAAGATTTGATTCCACTTGTCATAAAAGTTTTGGAAAGGACCTGACTACCTAGAATACACCCTATTTAAAAGAACTTCTCCCCCCCACACACCCTTTAGCAGCTCTGCTACACCCCATGTTAAGCTAAAACTAGCTAGCGTTTTAGTAAATAACAATGAGAGATAATGTTTTCCTCTAATTGCTGAAAATGATAGTGTTTCTAAGGAAGAGTTTCCTGCTGTTTTGTCTGATTTAATGAAGAACACTTAACCTTATTATCTCAGGATTTGGCTCCCTATCCGTTTGCAGTTCTCTTTATAAAGCCTAGGTGACACGTGACATTGGGCGGGTGGAGTGATAAGGAACGTGTGCCTTGCAGTCGGCCCAGAAGGGGTTGAGTAATGGTCTGGATTAGAGGCTTATTGTTTTAATTTGTTCTCATGGGTGTTTCCTAGTACTTTGACTAGCACACGAGTGAAAAAATTACTCTGGAATTCAGAGTGCAGTGATGTCAAAATACACGAGCTGAACTGGCAACAGAAAGGGCCGAATGAGGTGTATGAGGCTCTGAGCTAGAGTCTCCTCTTGCTCCGTTCTTCCCTAAAGCAAAAAAGCTGGAAGTAAATATTCTTACCGTTATTTCCTATCATCTGTAAGTTTGCTGGCAATTACCTTTGAACAGTGAAATGTGTGCTAATTAAAAGCGCATCATCTCAATGCCTGATTTAGAAATTGGAACAAATACTGGACCAAACTGGAAGCAGAGCTATTTTGGGCAATTTGGGCTAAAAGCTAATGCTCTAATAGGATGTTGACAAACGATCTAATATCATTTTAATCGATGTTTTCAGGCAGGCATCCTTTCTGGAAAAGGGAGGACCTAGTGGCCCATCTCTGTGTGGCCACACGCAGTGTGCTGGGCAGGGTGGGGACCGACGGAGATGGTTAAAGCCCGGTTCCTACCAGTCTAAATTTGGCTTCAAGAGCAGGGCACTGGCACAGAGGGGATGGGAAGGGTGTTTGCAAGAGAGGACAGAAGAAGTGGTCCAGGAGAGGCAAATGCTCTTACATCAAGTGCCACAGAAGGTATATGAGCGGTAGGGGTGGGGAGTGGGGGGTACACAGGAAGAACTTGACCTAGAAGATTTGATAGGGAAAAGGGGTCCACAGTGTTCCTAAAAACCTATGTGTACAGACTAGGAAAAACACTTAGGTGTCGTATATGTGATCCAACAATTATGACGTTATTATTCCTGACTTTCAGCTGTCCTTCCTCAGACTCTTTGGCTGCAGATTTTATTGCTGGCAACAACACAAAACCAAAGGACCAAGGGGATTTAAAAAAAGAAGCAGAAGAACCAAATCCATTATGGGCCACACTACCTCAGGGCCTTCGGGATTTGCATCTTGTTTGATGAATGTCACATCCTCCTCCCTTGGCTTCCGGGGCACAGTGCCCTCTGGATCTCCTCTATCTCTGACTGGCTCTTTGGCGCCACACCCTCCCTCTGCAGGCTTTCTCTGACTCCTGGTTTCAGCTTCTGTCCCTGGGCCCATGAGTCCCAAATCTCCCACCTGGAGTTCCCTCTGCCTGTCTTCAGCCTGGTATGCTCGGCTGCCTTCAGATCTATTCACTTGGATGTCTCCCTTGGGTGTCACCTCAAGCTTAATATGTCAAAGAGAAACACATCCTCTCTTCACACCCCCTCTCTAAAACACCTCTCTTTCCAACTTGTCTGCTGCTCTCCCAGCACCATCGATTTCTTTATTCCAACTGTGGAGTTACATAACTAACAGATGCCATGCTTTTGCTCCCAAGTCAGCGGGCAACAAACCTCACCGCTTCTTCTGCTAAGATTCAACTCTTCCCTTGTCTACAGCCACTACCAAGACTAGGCACCTAAACCTCCCCTCTACATCAGTACTGAGGCCTCCCCTCCACGGTTTCTCGGCCACACTGTCCACTCTGCCAAGCCCTGCTTCTGATAATTGAATGCTAACTGTCCTGATAAAGAGTCTAGAATGGTTTCTTAACGGACAAATTCCAGGCCTGTATGTAAAGCAGTTAACTGTTTGTTTTGTTTTTCTACTCATTGAATAAATAGGTACTTACATTTATATAGTTATTGAATTAAAACGTGCTGGCCCCTCACTGTGGGCCAGGCAGAGATACATAAATATGAACAGAAAATAGTTTTTGCTATTTTCTGGAAAGGATATACAGTCACAGTGATGGATTAGGACAGTTTGATTAGGATTCAAAGGGAAAAGCGCCACCGTAGAGGCAAATCAGGAGACCTTGAAAGTCTTGAGGAGAAAACTGGGATCCGTAAAGATTTGATAGATAATAAAAACATGCAACAGTGCTTTGGAGGTTAAGTAAGTGTTGGCCAAGTACTTTGTAGTTTGGTCTTGACCATTAGCAAGAGACACTCCACTCCCACCAGCTTCTGTGACTCACTCTAACTTGCCCTTCACCCTCCCACAGCCTCTTTAAGGGTTCCCCAGGTCTTTGCTAGTTCGAATTCGCTTTTGTCCAGGTCCACCTTAAGACAAATTTCCTCCACGTCGTTCCTGGCTTGTATCTTCATATCTTGTATCTTTCTCTTCTCCTCTCAGCAATGCACAGTATCATTTCCTAACCAGGGGAGCACTGCCTTCTAGGAGAAAGGTTCTCACATTTAAATATGAATCATCAAGTGTGATTCAGTAGGTTTAGCTCTGGACCTAGGAATCTGCTTTTTAACAGGTTCCCAGGTGATTCTGGGAAGGATCCTGAAGCAGGTTGAGGAACACTGTTTCAGACCTGGGTGGCTTCCTTCTAATTATTGGTACAGGCGGTCCCCAGTGCCTAGAAAAGTGTATGCGCACTGCCGAATGCCCTAGGCTCCATTTCCGCTTAGCTGGGTGACTGTTTGATATATCAATTATTAACGACACTCAGCGAGTCAAGAAAAACAGCTCAGCCAAGTGGAGACTGACTCCTGAGTGGTAAAAATCTCTCTGAAAGTCACCCAGTAGATCAAGAGGAAATGACATTTTTGTCCTCTCCAAAAATATGCAGCCA